CCAGAACTCTATCAATGCGTATCAACATTTTTCTAAAGAACACTGTCGATTGATCGTTTAATTATCTATATGATTCATTATCTATCATCATATGTATTGTCAACTGTCTTACAGATGCGTAGAGAACATGGCGCCTAATGTTTCTCTTTATCATTATCTCGAAAGAACAATACTTCTAACTCCAAATAATTTCGTCTTTTTCAGATTCTATTGGTAATTTAGGGCAATGTCTTGAAGAACATTTAACAACAGAAGGTTGGGTTTAATCTTGATACTTTCATTTTTCATTTCAACGACTAAATTCTGACTTTCAGTTTCAGAGATAATTATAACACAAAATGACGAGTTGAGTGCGTACGCCTAGATAGAAATAAATAAATAAAGAAAGAAATAGAATCAAAACCAAGGGGGAAAAGGCGATACTCCATCTACTCCAAAGTAAATTTTGGAGTACAGCAGAGTACGCTTGGAGTAGAGTGGAGTACCGATGGAGTAGAGTGGAGTATCGGTGGAGTAGAGTGGAGTACGAGTGGAGTACCGGTGGAGTAGAGTGAAGTACGAGTGGAGTATCGGCGGAGTAGAGTGGAGTACGAGTGGAGTAGAGTGGAGTATCGGTGGAGTCGAGTGGAGTACGAGTGGAGTATCGTTGGAGTATGCACTCCTGGAGTACCGCCTTTTCCCCCTTGATCAAAACTCAAAGTTGAATAAACTATAGTTTAATTATCCATATGATACATTATCTATCAGCTGTGATTACAGCTGTTTTATGCATGAGTGAAGTAAATGGCGCCTAACTTTTTAGGATTTAAATATTTCGAAGCTTGAAAACAAATCAAAGTCCTGAAAAATTTGTCTTTTTTCGACCCTGTTTGTATGCGAATGGAACATCGTAACGAAAATCGGAAAAAAGGAGGTTTCAGTTCAACCTCGATGCTTTCATCTGATGCTTGAACGAGAATTTTCTGACTGTCGGTTGTGGAGATCATCGCAACACAAAATGTGAAAAAAATTGTGTATGGTCTAGCTAGAAAGAAAGTAAGAAAGAAAGAAAGAAAGAAAAAGAAAGAAAGAAAGAAAACTCGCGACACAGTACTATAAAGTGCTCCGCACCTTCACAATACTATGCATGCTCGATTACGTCTGTTTCAAGTGATTCTGGATCGATCAGTAGTCGTTTAAGTTGCATAGCTAGGTGTACGTAATTTAATTGTAGCATCTTGACAGAAAGAAAGAAAACTTCGAAAAGTGCTCTGAATCAAAGAGAATTGTATAATGTATGATTTCGATGAATCAGAAATGAAATAGCAATAGAAATTTGTGAAATATGATTGTTCGAAAAAACTTGTTGACCACTTACTGGTCGTTCCAGCATTCAATGGCCAAGTGAATTTTGCACAATTTAATAGAGTTTTATTTATTTTCTTTATGATGTGAAAATAGCAG